TGTTAGTTTTCAGTGTGTATTAACGATCTTTGAGCAAATTTACTGTGCGATCTGAGTGGCTTGTCTCATTTGCGAACAAATTGTCACTTAGTGTTTTGTAATCTGTATTCACATTAGATTTTCTAACCAAAACCATGAGTTTTGTATTATCATAGTTGGTTAAATAAAGTCAGTGTATATGTAGTCAGTGGAGGTTGGTTAAAGGACACATGAAATATTATTGCATTTACCCTTTTGATAGAATAATCGTTATTATAATTTTAATCAAAAATAATCGTGATTATCAGTTTGACCATTATCGTGCAGCCCTACTTCAAATGCATATGGTTTACAGAAAGCAGCAAAGAAGTACTTTTCTCTAATATTATTCTCTAATGTATTTTAAGGTTGAGACAAAGGCCAAAGTCCATGATAAGCTGGCGAACAATCTAAAGAATGCACTGACAGAGTTGGACCGTCAGTTTGTCCAAATTTATGAGAATCTGGACAAGTGTCTCTCAGAGGGTGTACAAAATTCAGTGAGATTATGTGTTGCTACTGCACAGAAAGAACTGATAGAACCTGTAAGTGTGATTCAGTTGGTGTCAAACAATTGCATTTAATCACATTTGACACTCCTTTTCAGTTTGTTTACAGGACTATAACTGTTGTATCTGTTTTTGTGTTACAACTCAGGATAACAGAGATAATAGAGGATTTCATAAAACACTTAAAGCTCTATGCAAGAATAAAGGACACTATTGGTCAAAAAACTGGTGCATGATCCTAGATCTCAATGAGTGTTTGGCCACACACATGCAGGAAAGCATTTATGAGGAATTTAATCAAATTTTTCCGTGAGTCCCGTTTCTTATTCTTCTTTTTGTACTTAATATCATTTTAACTTCTGTTCAATTCTGGGAATGATCCTTGGGAGATTTATATTTCCAGTACTTATACTCTACATTTTTCTTTTGGTCTAGTGTTAATGGCGAAACAGAGAGATCATTGCAAAAACACCTTGATAAAGTCAGTATCATCCAAAGTGACAATACATTCTGCAGATCGTCTATGCTATATCACATTCAGAACTTCATCAAAACACGGGTAACTACAGTTATTCTGCACATATCTTTCTTTACTACCATTATAGATTCAAATGAATTAAAAACTTAAAAAATAAGTGTCGTCTGCTACACATAAATACATGAGACGTAAGATCATCTCGTCAAGGACAAATGCCTTATTAATTTGAAGTGTGAGTTACATACTGAATTTGTCAAATCAAATAATTTTAAATATGAATAGACTATAGTGCAGAAAATCAATTTATATACAGTTTTGTCTTCAAGAAGCTCTGTTTTGGAAGAAAATTTGTAGACCTTAAAGAGACATTGATGGAATAGTTACATTTCAATTGCATGGCACATTAAATGTATATATCTACAGCTGTTACTTATTATATTATGTTCTGTGTTTATTTCCTCTGACCCTCTGAAAAGGAAAACAAACTGAAGGCGTCACTCGGCAGAAAAGTTATTAACAGGAAGAAGGAAATCTACTCATCAATCTCAACAACGATTCGGGAAAAAATGGGTACTGGCTATGAAAGTAAGTCAGCATAAAAAAATAAAAACACTTTTTCAGTCAGAAGTCCAAAAGATGTACTGGTAATTTTCTGCCAGGGCATTATCCAGTAATAGAACAGACATTTCCGTTAACCTTAAAACACAACACAACAAAGTGCAAAATTCAAAGTACAGGTAAAACACATTTAAAAAAATAAATACAGAAAACTCCTTCATATTTATACAGTACATTGTGCCCTATTTTTACAGATTATTATTCTTCTTCTTTTTTTTTAACATTGTATGAAACAGATAATTTGTTTTATAATATTAACAAACTAGATGTTTTTTTGTTTTTTTTTAATGCTGCAATCTGGTCTCACTGGGAAAAAAAATTCACACTGCAATAGAGTTGTTTTAAAGTTTTCTTTCTTATGCAAAAGTTAAAATGATGAATTGTCATGGCACTGAGAAACAGTGTAACAAGAGTACAGTTACCTATAATATTAAACCTGCATAGCAAATACATTTTTATTGTTTTTTTCATGTCTTCAACTTAAAGATGAATACTACTAATACTTATTTCAGAAGCTGCAAAAATACATGGAAAGAATACCTTAAAGAAAATGCAGAAAATTCTAAGTGATACCATTGAGTCATTAAAAGATGACATGTTCAACGAGGCCAAAACCGAGGTCCTTGAGAGATTCAATAACTTGAAGGTATTTATTATGTACTTATTTTGCAAATCACCTGTATTGCAATTACGAAAAATATCTTAAATGTAAGATAAACCTCAAACTCAAAGCATAATCCCAGAAAAATAAATACAATCAGGTGTGACCCCACACCATTAAAGGTGGGGTGAAATTTGGTAATTTAGGTAATTATATCATTGATATCATTAACTTGCCAATTTTATTATTTTTTTTGCTCAATTACAGGTTAATAATTTAAAGGTTAAAATCCATTTTTACTCCAAAAAATCTATTAATTATAATTTCAATAATAGTAATTATTACAACATGCCATAGACACTTATTGCTCAATTTCCACTATAACTTTCCACAAAAACAGAAAACAAAACAAACATCTTAACTGGGTTTTTTGCCATATCTTACTCTAAATTTCTCATATTTCGTTGTAAAGCTCGAAATAAAGGATGCCTTTGAATCGGAGATGAAAAGATCAATGGAACCCTTTCATCTCCACACTGGCAAAACCACTCTTTTGGGTAAGTAAGCTTTTTAAATCACATGACAAAATATTAAATTACAGAATTTTGATTGTACACAAGATAATGAGGAACAGACTAGGGCTGCACTATATATATATATATAATATGATAATTTTGTCTAGATGATTTAAATAGCTATGTTTGTAAAGAATTAATAATTCTAGAATGATTTGGTGCTATTTTGTTGGGGAGTGCATCTCCATAGAAAAAAAGCATGAGAAAAAAAAAAAAGTGCAAACTTCTGTTTAGGGCTGAATGATTTGGGAAAAAATGTGGGTGTAAACATTTGGGCATAACTAAAATCTGTGAAGAGTGCATCAAAGACATATAGCGTCTGCAAAGAGGACAGTTGTGAAATAAATTATAATTATTAATTAATAAAAAATAATAATTTTAAAATAATTTTGGTTACACTTTATTTTGCACTGTCCTTGTTACAGTGTAATGACACATTTAAAGGCAGTTTAGATTAAATGGATCTCAAGCTTACTAGCTGAATATGATTTTCACAGTAATATGAAATCTCACGGAAACTTGCGAGATCAAATGTGACTTGTGAAGAAAAACAA